GAAGTAAAACATGACAAGAGACACTAGGACAGACTAACAGTTTCAGTTCAACAGTAGTTAGCCCAGTTGTTAGTTGGTGCTTTTCTCACTGAGACAAACTTCTCAAAAGCTCCTTTTTAATAAATGAAGGCCGGCTCTGTACAGACAAGTGGAGACTACAATAAAACATATTAAATCAATAACATTTAGGATATTTCAACATTTGAAACACTTATATTCAGTGTGTGAATTATACCATGGCTGTCAGGGTGCTCACTTTTTTGTGATTTTACTGCTGAATCATTAAAAGCTGCAAGCATGTAGGCTTGGGCTTACTTTGAAAGTATCAGGCATGTTTGTCGTCTTCTTATAATAATAAAAATATTAATATTGATATTATTGTCATACGAAGCCATTTTGTTACAATTAGCTTCACACAACAGCTGTTTGTGACCTGACCTTTCTTTTCTCTGTGAGAGGGTAGAATTTTGAAAAGTTGCGTGACGCTGCAGAGAGCCCTGGATCATGTGTAGCCTAATATTTATCCAGCCAGACGGATCGATCATGAACCATTCACAGCGCATCGGCTGTCCAAGCGACACAACCCGTTCTGGAGACGGAGTGGGGCGGAACTGGGACAGGAGTTGTGGAGCGACCGGCCCGCTGTGGACGGGTCGGTCATCATTCCCTCTGGCTGGATAAAGGCTCCTGAATTTACGCTTGGATCCATGATGATAGAGAAATATAGAAATTAATGGCAATAAAGCATGCTGTCAATATTTTACAGGCCTCCAATAAAAATCACAAATCACGCTTTTAGTGGAGCTGATGTCTTATTTAGGGGAGCTTAGCTCCGCCTGGCTAATAATGTCGTGTAAAAATTCAAGACTTGGGCCAGATAAGAAAGCTTGAACTTTTACCAACATTTTTATTATCAACAAAAACAGACACCAATTAAAATACAAAAGTTCCACCGGAGTGAGTCAGAGATCGGTGCAAAATAGAGTCCCATTCTGTTACCAGAACAGAGACTTCTGGACCTCCTTTCATAGCTCTGTTTCTTGGCTTCACATCATCTCTTGGCTCTCTTTCCTGCTGCACCTGAATCTGGGAAATTCCCTGACTGGCTGCTCCTCCTCTCTGTGTCCTCTGCATGCACTCTGCTTGATCATGCTATTTCTTCCATAACCTGACTTTTGTGGAATAAACTGGTGTTGTTTGTGCTCCGTGCCAGAAACAGGACATTCTTACTGTGATGGACTATATTGATGTATGTTTTGTAATACAAAATCTGCTTCTATATTTTCCTTTGCAGGTGTTTTTGATGCTGCCTCACTTTTCTCCCAAAGCACACGAGCTTGCTCACAAACACATGTGCTACTGCTGAGCCTGGGCAGGAAGGAGCACACACACTCAGAGCTGTAGAGTTTTCACACTGTGATCCTAACTTTACACTATAAAATAACACTTTAAATGATGACAGTGTAGACCACCATTGCTCTAGTAATTAATTATAACAATTTAGGCTATAATGCTCCAAAATAATTCACAACACTAACCCGTAGTTCACACATTGTTTATATTGGCGAGAGGAGTCAGAAAAGGTCAAATTTGACAGGGGAACCCTTATTTCTCTCAAAGCTCTGATTAATCCAATTTGGAGACACAAACCAATATGGATCTCTGCCATGAGTCCATCGTTTATTGCCCATTTAACCCTCACACCACCCACTCTGCAATCGTACAAACACCTTGAGATGTCTCGGGAACATAGGAATCTTTCCTGACTCTACCTTCTCCCGCAATGACGACGCAAACGCTGCATTAGCCCTCCAATCATTTTAATGTTAGATTTGTGCCTTGTTGGCTGATGTCGCTAGTAGTTTAGCCACCGGTCATCTGGTCTGCTAAGGTTAGCGGTCGTTCACAAACTAATGAAAAAACAATGGAAATTCTGAGCATGGCTTTTCATTTTTCACTTTCGTTAACAAGATAATGTAAAGAAAATGTAAACAAAGGCTGTGAGATGTGATTTATCGACTTAAACTGACTCACCAGTGGGTCTTTACAAACACACAATTGTACTTGAGAAAACTAGTGAAAAACACTAAAATAGATGTTTTGGTGATGTGCTGAACACCAGTAGGCTACAGGGAGAATTTGTCACTTAGAGTTGCCTTCTTTATTTGGTTGGAAACTGGTTTAGGCCTGGTCACACCAACATTTACAAAGCAAAATCAATTAATTCCTATGGAATCACTGCGATCAGTGGATTTTATGAGTTCAACTTTGGGTTACTTAGACTCGTTGATTGGTGACCAAAAGTAAGAGCTATCGTAGCTTAGCTGTGCACCAGGTAGGCCTACATTAGTTCACTAACTAGCCAACATGCTTTTACAACCATGGATTTTGTGAAGAGACGCTGTGTTTAATTTTGCTATTCCACCAACACATTCTCACTCCCAACTCGTCAAATATTGAAACCCTTCGTCAAGACCTTTGGCGTTGCTCTTTACTGTTAACGACGTTTAGGTGTCTGCAGTCAAGTTAGCGTCAAAAATATGCACATATCACATGTTAAACCTCATCCCGTTAATTTTACAGTGTTTTTAACAAAAAGACTCCTTTTTGTTAAACTGTTCATAATATATGCAGAAGATTTAAAAAGTTATTATAAGTTAAAAAGAGTTATAAAATAAACTTAAACAAACTAATGTGGGTGTTGGCTGGTTACAGGATGGTGCTGACCAACTTTTTGCCTGATTTTTCGTATGTGATTATTTGATTAAACGCGTAAATTTAGGGATATTTAACATATTAAAGACCATAACTACATTTTGACACAAGGACACCCTACAAAACAGATCCACAAGGTTAGAAAATAAAAAAGATAAGATAGACTTTATTGATTTCACATTCTCTTGTTTCAGCAGCTCCAGAGACAATATAATGCACATCAAACAAAAATAGAATAGAAAAATACAAGATATAATAGAAATAGAAAGATAGGAGTAAGAGATGTGCACACTACAAACAGTTTACACCTTTTGTATACAGATGTGATTGATATGGAACATGCAAGCAAATGTTGCAGTAGGAGGCAATTGAACTCCTACAGATATAAATATAATTGCACAGGACTGAATATTTACAGCAGAAGTTTACAAAAAAATGTACACATGACAGTGTTTGTCATTTGGCAGGACTAATGATAAGCAATAAGCAATGAGGATTTCTATAAAATAATATTAAAAACATCACATCTTGTTCTCTTGATACATACAGTGGGTACGGAAAGTATTCAGACCCCTTTAAATTTTTCACTCTTTGTTTCATTGCAGCCATTTTCCAAAAATCAAAAAAGTTCATTTTATTTCTAAATTTATTTAAAAAGAAAAACTGAAATAAGTCATAATTATTCAGACCCTTTGCCGTGACACTCATATTTAACTCAGGTGCTGTCTATTTCTTCTGATCATCCTTGAGATGGTTCTACACCTTCATTTGAGTCCAGCTGTGTTTGATTATACTGATTGGACTTGATTAGGAAAGCCACACACCTGTCTATATAAGACCTTACAGCTCACAGTGCATGTCAGAGCAAATGAGAATCATGAGGTCAAAGGAACTGCCTGAAGAGCTCAGAGACAGAATTGTGGCAAGGCACAGATCTGGCCACGGTTACAAAAAAATTTCTGCTGCACTTAAGGTTCCTAAGAGCACAGTGGCCTCCATAATCCTCAAATGGAAGACGTTTGGGACGACCAGAACCCTTCCTAGAGCTGGCCGTCCGGCCAAACTGAGCTATCGGGGGAGAAGAGCCTTGGTGAGAGAGGTAAAGAAGAACCCAAAGGTCACTGTGGCTGAGCTCCAGAGATGCAGTCGGGAGATGGGAGAAAGTTGTAGTAAGTCAACCATCACTGCAGCAATCCACCAGTCGGGGCTTTATGGCAGAGTGGCCCGACGGAAGCCTCTCCTCAGTGCAAGACACATGAAAGCCTGCATGGAGTTTGCTAAAAAACACCTGAAGGACTCCAAGATGGTGATAAATAAGATCCTCTGGTCTGATGAGACCAAGATAGAACTTTTTGGCCTTAATTCTAAGCGGTATGTGTGGAGAAAACCAGGCACTGCTCATCACCTGTCCAATACAGTCTCAACAGTGAAGCATGGTGGTGGCAGCATCATGCTGTGGGGGTGTTTTTCAGCTGCAGGGACAGGACGACCGGTTGCAATCGAGGGAAAGATGAATGTGGCCAAGTACAGGGATATCCTGGACGAAAACCTTTTCCAGAGCGCTCTGGACCTCAGACTGGGCCGAAGGTTTACCTTCCAACAAGACAATGACCCTAAGCGCACCGCTAAAATAACGAAGGAGCGGCTTCACAACAACTCCGTGGCTGTTCTTGAATGGCCCAGCCAGAGCCCTGACTTAAACCCAATTGAGCATCTCTGGAGAGACCTGAAAATGGCTGTCCACCAACGTTTACCATCCAACCTGACAGAACTGGAGAGGACCTGCAAGGAGGAATGGCAGAGGATACCCAAATCCAGGTGTGAAAAACTTGTTGCATCTTTCCCAAAACGACTCATGGCTGTATTAGATCAAAAGGGTGCTTCTACTAAATACTGAGCAAAGGGTCTGAATACTTATGACCATGTGATATTTCAGTTTTTCTTAATAAATTTGCAAAAAATTTCTACATTTCTGTTTATTTTATTTATTTATTTTGTCAAGATAGGGTGCTGAATGTACATTAATGAGAAATAAAATGAATGTTTTTGATTTATTTGGAAAATGACTGCAATGAAACAGAGTGAAAAATTTAAAGGGGTCATAATACTGTGTGTGTGTGGACGTGGACACACCCTCAATTTTTTCAGGATACTTCAACCCAGTAAGTACTTCAACAACTGGGATTCATTTCCACCAACATGCACAACATTTATATTGATAGAAGCTGGACTGTGGAGATTTACATCACATGAGAAGTAAGATGATCTGAACTCCATGGATTTTGTTTTTTTTCTGCAAGAATACAAACCGTCACGATCTGAGAAAACAGAACAAATATGTACATCGTATTAATCACTAATAATGACACTAAAAGTTTAGTTAGTACTTTTATATTTTTTCTGATTAATTTCATGTCAAAAGAGAAATCTGATAAGTTATTAAAATGTTCTGGTGTTCAGTGTTTGTGACCAGGTTTTAAGACAGCACTGGCTTTTCACTAAAATCCAGACATATTTCAGAGACTTATAGCTACTATAATAATTAATAGTGTGGCTTGGGTGGTGATGGAGCAGTGGATAAGACTCATGCCTTTGATGTGAGAGACCCGGGTTCAATTCCCCCCTCGTTGCTCCAGAGGTGTGTGACCTCTGACATGTACAGCAATTGTAAGTCGCTTTGGATACAAGCGTCAACTTAATGAGTAAATGTAATATCTTCATATTAACAATGGATCAAACGAGGAGGTGAAAATGAAAGAGGTCGTTCAAAGTGAGTTTTCTGCAACAACATAATCTGTTAGGATATACTAGTAAAAGAGTATTTTTTTAAAAAGCTAATAGATATATAATCCTGCACTAATAACTATGGGACTGAATTTTAGAAATGAGAGAACAAACACTCTGAGATCAGATTTGATGGTCCGGCAGTTTGATGAATGAGGACCACTGTCTCTATACATCTTGTGATGCTGTCAGCTGGAATCCAGCTTTATTTCCTGGAGACATGAACACAACAACAACAGTCGTCTTCACATCAACTCAAACACATGATCACTGCCTGTTCTCTCTCTCTCTCTCTGTCTTTCTGTCCAATCCTGAAGCCTGTCACCATTCTCCTCTCACAGCTTCACTGAGGAAAGCAGCCGCTGAGAAGGTTGGAGGTTACAGGAAATACTGGATCTCTGCTTTGATACTAACTGTGTTTAGTACAATACTGCTGAAACCAGCATGGACTGACTCCAACCCTCTACTGACCTCAGAGTCTCCAGAGTCTCCAGTCTGCAGTGTGGACTCTCCACAAGATCAGACAGCAGCTTCACTCCTGAATCCTGCAGCTTGTTGTCACTCAGCTCCAGCTCTCTCAGATGGGAGGAGTTGGACTTCAGAGCTGAGGCCAGAGAAGCACAGCTGATCACTGACAACCTGCAGCACCTCAATCTGAATAAAGAATAAATGATGTAGATTAAAATCAATTTCTGATCCAATCAGATGTGTTCAGGTTTTAAATGTAGAGATCAACATTACTATGTCCTAATCAATGAGCTTTTCCCTAAAATGAGTAGAGGGACTTTGTCATTGTGTTATTGTGGATCATCATAATGTCAGCCTTCTACAGACATCATCCAAATGTCAGCACAACATTCATACACCTATTCATGTGAACACAGATAATAACATGCTGCTGATCTCAGGCCAGTCTGTGTGTGTGTGTGTGTGTGTGTGTGTGTGTTCTGAAGGATCAATTTCAGTGATCAGAAATTCTTTGTGAAAACACATCCAAACCAACAAAAATAAATAAATATTTCTACTTCAACAAGTAAACTTGATCAGTTTAAAACAAATGTTAGTTCAGAGGATCTTCTGTATACAGATGTGACCATTTACCAAAAATAAGAAACATTCATTTACTTTAAAGACTAACAGCGGACATTTTCTATAGTTTCTTGCAGACTAAATTTAGTACAAGAAACATGAAAATATGAACAAAAGGACATTTACAACTTTATGGATGGAAGTTATGTATAAACAGAAATTAGGTTCAATTGTTAATTAAACATATCAGATCTACAATAGTAACAGAGAGTCAGTGAACTGACCTCAGAGTCTCCAGTCTGCAGTGTGGACTCTCCAGAAAACCACACAGCAGCTTCACTCCTGAATCCTGCAGCTTGTTGTTACTCAGGTCCAGCTCTCTCAGATGGGAGGGGTTGGACTTCAGAGCTGAGGCCAGAGAAGCACAGCTGATCACTGACAAACTGCAGCCCCTCAATCTGAATAAAGAATAAATGATGTAACATTAGAAGACAATGTTCCTGTTTGAAATCATTCAGTGTTTAATAATCTGTTCAGAGCTGAAGGTTTAGAATGTAGAAGTTTAGAAAATGGAAACTCCAAACACCTGAACCCAACAGGATGCAGGTTCAAACTGTAAAATACAAAAAAGGTAAAAAGAGCTCTCATTAATATTAAAGATAACATGCTCACACTATTCCACTGCTCTTTATTAAACCTGGACCTTTCTCAGAGTTATAAGGTGGAGGAGCAGCCGCTCTGTACAGGATCTACCGGAGATGCCGCAGGCAGAAGCGTACTGGTGCGCTGGTTAAACTGAGATAGCGGGGTTTTCACACTGTACTCCCTTCAATCCACCTGGCGAATGTCCACTCTCCGGCCAACAAAATGGACGAACTGTTGCTCCTCAACAGGACTAACTTGGACTTCTGCAGATCTGCCACCCTCTGTTTTACCGAGTCCTGGCTCACCCCGCACATCCCAGACAGCGCACTTCACCTGGGCATTTAATCTCTTCCGTGCGGATCGTGTAACAGAGCTCACGGGAAAAACAAGGGGAGGCGTACTCTGTCTCTACATAAACGAAGGTTGGTGCACAGATGTCACAGTGTTAAAGAAATCATGCAGCCATCACTTAGAGACATTATTCAAAAACTGTAGGCTAAACCTTTTTATTCACAGCGGGAGTTTTCCATGTTTGTTCTGGTGGCCGTCTATATTCCACCTCAGGCCTGTTAGTGAGGCGTTACTACATCTGACTGACCAGATAACTAACGTGGAGAGAAAACATCCAGACTCCCTGCTCACTGTTCTTGGGGACTTCTACAGAGCAAACCTGCAGCCATGAACTCCCAAAGTACAGACAGCATATTAAGTGTCCCACCAGAGACAATAACACACTGGACCACTGCTACACTACATTAAAGGACGTATATTGCTCTATTCCCCTTGCAGCCTTGGGACTCTCTGATCACTGAAATCTGCTAAACCTGTTGTAAAGAGTGTGAAAAGATGGGCCAACGAGTCGAAGCTGGAGTTACAGGCCTGCTTTGACTGAACTGAATGGAGTGTTTTTGGGGCTGCAGCCACTGACCTGGATGAACTAACTGACACTGTGACATCTTACATCAGTTTTTGTGAGGACATGTGTGTGCCGACTAAAACCTTCCGCACATACAACGACCAAAAACCCTGGTTCACAGCGAAACTCAGGCAGCTTCATCAGACCAAGGAGGAGGCCTTCAGAAGGGGGGCAGTCCTGTATAACCAGGCCAGGAACTCACTGACTAAAGAGGTCAAAGCAGCAAAGAGGAGCTATGCTGAAAAGCTTGAAAACAGCTTCACAGCCAATGACCCTGCGTCAGTGTGGAGAGGCCTGCAGACACTCACTAACTACAGGAGACCATCCCCCAACACTGCTGGTACTCAACGACTGGCAGACGAGCTGAATGGATTTTACTGTAGGTTTGAGAAGCCCACAGTCACACCTCTCCCCTGCTCCAACACCATCTTCAAACAGTCACCTTCCCCAACTGCCACAGTTTCAGAGGAGGCTCAGTGAATGGAAGTGAAACAATATCACATTACTTATTGCATTAGTTATCAAAGGGAGATCATATAGAATAGCCTACATGTGTGAGCAGCCCGTTCTTATCTCAGGGCGTCATATACCGACGATTTGAGAAAGAGTGACAAAGCGTAGGTATTTGACGCAAAACGCACCGTTCAGCGATGCTTCCGGAAGTGTCTCTACAAGACGCCCCGGGGCGTCTGATTCCGACCGGAAGTGCTAGCTAGCTACCCTTACCACAACCATCAGAAATGTTAGTACCTAAACCTAAGTCACTGAATGTATGCATGTCGACCGGCTAACCCTACAGCTGCTAACCGGCCGATGTGCTAACAGGTAGGGTTAGCCTCCCTTGTGTTGCGGCAACTTAGGAAATGGGGGTGTTTCATACGGACGCTGAAGGGTACCTTTAGCATAAAATCCTTACGTTTTGTCACGCTGGCTGAAAGCGTCAGTTATGACGCATTGAGATGAGAACGTGTTGGTGTGAGAGTTCAGAGATACAGTAGTTTTGGGGAACTGTTTTCTCCCCCATTAGAGCCAGGAACTAATAAATGTCTTAGGACAGATTTTTAAAAACTATTTGCTGTAGTCAGAAGTTATGTCAAAGAGCAATACAAGGTTATCTTGTCTCAAATGCTCAGTGTCTATGGGATCAAATAATATAATCATTCCATAGGCATTTAAGAATTGAGTGAAACTTACCAAGTAAACTAAAGATGTGGTGAGGGGGTGCTGTTTCCCAAGCTTTGTCTGGGGAGGCCCGCAGTCTCAGACTTTGAAAACCCCTGCCAAATACCAAATCCACCTACCTCAACTAAATAACACAATAACCCACTAATACTTATTTATTCCAGCATCTTTGCACTACGGTCCTAGCACTGTATATATGTGTACATGTATGCAGGTATGTGTACCTGTATATCACATCCACCTCCAACATGTATTTAATAATTATAACAATAATGATAATAATAATTTAATCCTGCATCCTTTGCACTCTGCTCATTGCACTATTGTCTCAATCTGTCTATGTTGTTGGTGTTTCTGTTTATATTTTGTATAAATGTGTTCTCTATACTGTAGTCTGTCTGATTTCATTATGGTATAAGTAAGCACATTGTGAGCAATGTACAATCCTGAGTCAAATTCCTCGTATGTGTACACATACCTGGTAAATAGAGCTTATTCTGATTCTGCTACTTCAAAAAAGACGTTGTGACTTCAGCTCTTAAACTCTGCAGCTCCACCAGTGGCTCCATCTATACAAACTCATGTTGTGCAGCCAAACACAAAGAAAAACCCACAGAAACTGATTTAAGATTCCACTCAAGATCCCAAAGTTTCCAAAGATGCCAAATATGTCAGGATGAACTTTGGGGAAATGTGAACAAAAATCATCTACAATATTTCTCTTAGGAATAGTGGAGTCATCAAATCAAAGCTTCTTCACTTCAAACTATTCAGTCAGTGTAAGCATCATATAGCTTCATAACAATGTTTGAAAAAGCAAATACTGAATCTATTTGTTATTGTCTGATAGTTGAAATAGAGATTATTTATTTCTTCATTGAATTCATATAGTTTTATTATCATTTCTTTAAAAACATGATGTGGAATAGAAGCTGAAAACCAGGAGTTTAAGAGGTTCAGAGTGAATTATCCAGTGGAGATTTTTCTTGTTATATTCCATTCATCCATCCATCTTCATCCGCTTATCCGGGATCGGGTCGCGTGGGCAGCAGCTCCAGCAGCAAATTTCTCTTTCCCGGGCCACATTAACCAGCTCTGACTGGGGGATCCTGAGGCGTTCCCAGGCTAGTGTGGAGATATAATCTCTCCACCTAGTCCTGGGTCTTCCCCGAGGCCTCCTCCCAGTTGGACGTGCCTGGAACACCTCCCTAGGGAGGCGTCCAGGAGGCATCTTTACCAGATGCACAAAGGAGCAGCGGCTCTACTCTGAGCTCCTCGCGGATGGCTGAGTTTCTCACCCTATCTCTAAGGGAGACACCAGCCACCCGCCTGAGGAAGCCCATTTCGGCCGCTTGTACCCGTGATCTCGTTCTTTCGGTCATGACCCAGCCTTCATGACCATAGGCAAGGGTAGGAACAAAAATTGACCGGTAGATTGAGAGCTTTGTCTTACGGCTCAGCTCTCTTTTCGTCACAACAGTGTGGTAAAGCGAGTGCAATACCGCCCCCGCTGCTCCGATTCTCCGGCCAATCTCCAGCTCCAGTCTCCCCTCACTTGTGAACAAGACCCCGAGGTACTTCAACTCCTTCACTTGGGGTAAGGAGTCATTCCCTACATAGAGTTGGCACTCCACCGGTTTCCTGCTGAGAACCATGGCCTCAGATTTAGAGGTGCTAATCCTCATCCCAACCGCTTCACACTCAGCTAAGTGTTCGAAACATGCGGCCTCAAATCCGATGAAACGATTACAAAACGATCATCGATCTTCGGCCTAGGGTGCTCTGGTACTACGTACACGTACACGTACACGTTATGAGCATCCTTATGTTCGAACATGGTGTTCGTTATAGACAATCCATGACTAGCACAGAAGTCTAATAACAAACACCCACTCTGGTTTAGATCAGGGAGGCTGTTCCTCCCAATCACACCTCTCCAGGTATCTCCATCATTACCCACACCTGCCTGGCGCCTCACACCCTGGGCAACTCCAGAGAAGAATAGGCTCCATCCCCTATCAAGGAGTACGGTTCCAGAACAGAGACTGTGCGTGGAGGTCAGCCCCACCAGATCCAACTGGTAGTGCTCCATCTCCCGCACCAGTTCCAGCTCCTTCCCCCACAGAGAGGTGACGTTCCAAGTCCCCAGAGCCAGCCTCTGCCGCCTGGGTCTGGCCCTTGGCTTCCTCCGGGCAGGGTCTCTCTTCCTCTTCCTCGATTAGTCATAGGGGTCTTTATGAACCATTCTCAGTCTGGCCACTCACCTGGAACCACTTTGCCTTGGGAGACCCTACCAGGAGCACTAGGCTCCTGACAACACAACCTCCAGGCTCACATGGGCACGCAAACCTCCCCACCATGGTAAGGTGATGATTCCCGGAGAGGTCTTGTTGTATTAAGCATTTAAATGTGGAGCTCAACATTGCTCTGCCACTGTCAATGGACTAAACCACTGAAGAAGAAAAGAGACTTTAGCATTAAGATACTCAGTGTGGATCAGTATAATATCAGCCTTATGTCTACACTTTAGTGTCACCACAACATTTACATCATATTAATCTCAGCAGAGAAGAA